GTTTTTCGAGACAGGGTTTCTCTGTGTAGCTTTGTGCCTTTCCTGGAACTCGCTTCGAACTCACAGAGATCCACCTGGCTCTGCCTCCTGAGTGCTGGGATTAAAGGCATGCACCACCACCGCCCAGCTGCATTGTTTTATGTATACTCCAAACCTGTACAGCCAAGGACAGCTCTTCATTGGGCACCCTGTCATAGACCACATCTCCTACTGAAATGACTGACAGACACTCACTTTACTGCTCATGAATACTGGTCACAATTACCTGTTTCAGGATCTCATCCAACAAACTCATATTGGCTTCCTGGGCCTTTATTGTGTGGGAAAAGAAGGCATAAGTCTTCTTGGACATCAGTTTTTCCTCTGGAGGCCTTTTTACTCCCAAAATTAGACAAGCTTCTGTGATGTCCTCCTGAAGAATGCCGCCAGCCCTGGCATACTCCTGGGGATGAAATTTGGACCAAAGGTTACTCTTGCAGATTGTCGTGGTCATGACTTTCTCTGATGAAAAGTACAAAGGTACAACAACCTTCCGAAGGATGGGGTTTGGTGAAGGATGGGGTTTAGTACAAATAACAATGTAGCTTCCTCAAAAAAGATATTATCCATCCTGCTTGGCTTTTATAGGAAAAAAAATTGGAAAATCCACTATTCACTCATATTTAAGAGCAGATTATACTTTGATCACAAATGGAGAAAGGAGGGGTAGAGGTTCAAGGTCGTCATTGGCGATCTAGTAAGTTCCGGGTTAGTCTGAACTACAGGAGACCCCCGTCACAGGAAAAGAAAAACTGTATGCGTATTATGTACGAATAGCATACAGTAATGACAAAGGTGGAGATACATATCCACACTGGAGAGATCATCTGGGAACCACCTCGACCAATGATCACATATTGCTGATGGTGGGGCATCTTGGTATCTTGACTCTTTGATTTGGTTCTATGGAAAGATGATATGTGACTGACATTTATGCCCCAAATGTCTAGCCTAAATCTGATCCTAAGGATATATTCAGACTAGTTCTATTCAAAAGCAGAACATGCAACAGGTCAGTTTCCTAGACTCTTCAAAAAGGAATCAATGTCATTAAAATAAAATCAGGAAAGGAGGAGATGCCCCAGATCACAACTAAAGATACAGAACAATAGCCTGTAGGAAGCTTAGGTAAACCTCAATTGAGCCAGTGGGGAATTTGAACACAGATCATACGAGAAGCAGGGCAGGCTGCCTAATAGCTGCCATCCCAGCACTTGGGAAGTAGAGGAACAAGGGTCAGAAATTCAAGATCATTCACAGTTACACAGAAAATTAAAAGATAATCTTGGCTACATGAGGACTAGTCTAAAACAAAAGAAAGCAAAAAAGCACTGATTGTGTTCTTGTGTGAAAATAATACAGTGGTTCTGTAAGAAAGCACTGTCTAGGAGATGCCCAGAAAAGCATTAAATGCTAATGTGTTAGAATGTCTGCAACCTACTTTCAAATGATCCAGGAAAGGAAAAGTACATACGTATTCCTAAAACTGGAATGAGGATATAACTTCTGGTATGATTATTTCAGAAAGTAAACAGAGAGATGGGTGTAAAGGGCTATCAACGTGACTGCTGAGGTACAACCTCATGAAGAATAAGCTGTGCCTGAAGGAGAGCATTCCTGGGTGCAAGAACGGTGACTTAGTCTTTGCCGTTCTAGTCCCAGAAGAGGGGCTGTGCCTGAAGGAGAGAATGACTGAGAGACTCGGAAAATTCTGAAAGCAGACCCTTAAACTGTCAGGGGGAAAACACGTGGAATTGAGTGAAAAAAAAAACTTTTAGGAAAGTAATGGAATTAAAGTGAAAGGAGAACATTTGGTTTCCTTTCAGATGCTTCTGGATTACCACTGTTGTGTCCACAGGCATTTCTAAAGTTGAAAGTAGTTACCTTGTCATGAATGGCCCGGCGATTGGAAGGCTGTATCAAGACCTTGTATCCCAGTTTGGTGATGCCCTTGATGTGCTTGGGAGCCAGAGGTGCCCTGCGCTCCCAGGCATTCACATCCTCTCTCCGGAGTGCCATCACTGGCTTTTGGTGGAGACCTCTGGAGAGGCAGGCTCTCAGCCTGGCCAGTCTTGGCCTCTGCGCTCGCAGCATCTTTGAGTCTGGTAGCTGTAAAGGCAAGTTTCAACAGCAGCCCAGAATAGAGCGGAGGGCTCACAGATGAGTTCTGGTCTCCTTAGAAATCTGTTGCAAAAGAGAACCAACCCACTTGGTAGACATGGGCAGGACAAATCTCTGGCAGTAAATGTGCCTTTAACAAACCAAACTAAAGTCTCCAAAGATTGGTTAATGGAACTTCTTAAATGTTTTATTAAACATGTTTTTAGGACAAAAGTTTAAACATGTTAGTTGAGTATAGAAAGAGAAAGATATAACAGATATCAGTCTTTACAAACTGGTCCCTAGTTTGATGTTATAAATTGAAATTCCTATAACGGTATACAAGCATCTTCAACGCTCCTCCTGATATTTCTCCCAAGTTTACTGAATAGGAGTCACTCAGTGTGCTCTGCCCCCTAGTGGCCAAAAGTGAGGTTTTTTTTGTTTTTTTGTTTTTTTTTTTTGTTGTTGTTTTTTGTTTTTAATGTCCACAATAAGATGTACAGAAATAAAAAGGAAGCATGTGTAAACCTTGATACCACACGATAGCCAAGTTTGGTGGCGTGTGCCTGTAATCCCAGTATTCAGGAGGCTGAAGCAAGAGGGTTGCCATGGGTTCAAAGTGAGTCAGGGCTACACAGCTACATTCTGTCTCAAAAAAGGAAACAAAACAAAACACTTCGTGATCATTTTTCTAGGCTCTATTTAGCAAAAATACTGTTCCCTCAACTACTGTAAGTTAAAACCAACCACTCAATGGCATGGATTCCTTCACCACAGACCCCAGTTTCCCTCTCACAGATCAGCAAGGCTTCCTTCTTCCCATACTCAGCCCTCTACCCTGCTGGTCTCACCCAGTTCTCTTGCCGCTAGTCAAGTATGCACAATTCCACTCATTTAGTCAGAACAAACATATTTACAAAACAAATATTCAGTGCCCCATACAAATAAGTTTTATATAGGCTTTTCCATGCAAATATCTAGGTCTAAAAGTATTTACTTTATCCTTTTCAAATGTTTGTATACACCTTGAAACCAAAAAGTACTGATAATTTTAATTCAGATGCTATTGTTTTCCTATGTAAGGTTGACAGCAAATTATAGGGGTTATATATTCTCAAAAAAAAAAATAATAATCCTATCCATGACTTCATAGTTCTAGAAATTCCTTCCTCATTACAGACAGCACATAGTAAGCTTGGGAATTCAAGTCACTTGGGAATTCAAGCTCTAAGGAATAACTTTCTCACAGATGGCAACAGAGACCAAACACTCACAAGTACTTGCTCTCTATAAATGTAGAGAGCACTTCACAACAGAACCAGAGGAGAAAGCAAGGAAGACATCCAGGAAGAGTCAGCTGGACACAGAAGAAACCATGCCAGGTACCAGAAACACAACAGGGTACCAGTCCAGCCATGCAGAGATGAACTGCATGATGAGAACAAGAGGTAGAAACTGGTGAGGTAGGTAGGGTCCCCCAAGGATCAGTACTAAGAATGTTCTTGCTGAAGACCAAAACTTCCAGAAGAGACTCTTTACAGGATGAGAGGAATTGAGACAAGTTGCTGAATTAATTATCTGTGGGTAATTAATTAATTATCTGTGGGTAAGCCAACTGGATTGACCAGCCCCTCCCCTTCCCCATGCCGAACCCAGGTCTCTGCCAAGTCCTGTAAAAGCTCCCTCTGTAGCAGCTAGAGTAGTTTGCTATTTCCTGGGCCTGTTCCTGCTGTACAGAAACAGCCCTCTCCATCACTCTTAAGCTCCCACCTGTGGTGAACTATAATGAACCTTCTGTCTAAAACTCATCTTCTGTGGTGCGCATTTCATTCTCTGAATTCAAAACACAAGAAGCTGAATGTCAATGACTCAGGATAGCTTTCATGGCCAATAAGTTTCGTGGGACTCTATCTCCACATGCTAAACTCACCAAGAGCCAAGAAAGGCACAGTTGAACAACATTTCACATATCATACAGGTGAACATACCAGTGCTTAATATTTCAGTGAAGTATTTATTACTAACCCTACATGCATTTTTTGCTTATTTATATAATTTGGATACTCAAAAAACTACATTAAATTTAAGTCCAAGTCTATAACATCTACTGTCCCCCAATCAAAGGACCACATACAATATCTCATGAACCTGACCTGAACGTCTTTGTTCCTAAATACCAACTCCAAAGACAGTGTTTCCTTTGAACACGAACACACACACACACACACACACACACACACACACACACACACACACACACTGCACTTCCTGAATTCACAGGTGACCATATTATGAGTTTCCCTTTGTGGCCCTAAATGAAGGCACGTGCATACATTCCCATTAGTTAGTGTCCCTTCTTCCAAGCCCCAGCTCAAGTGTGATGATTAACCAAAGTCGCCTTCCCAAATTCAGTGACATCCTCTCCTTTTCCGGGGTGGGTGTGGGCTTGGAGACAGCAGGGGACACACATATCATGCAAAGCCATACAGTCTAAGGGAACTAGAAGACAAAATCATCAGAAACTAGGCTCCTCTTAAGGAAGCTACATGCACTTTCCGTAAGGAATTCTAAAATTATTAGATCCCTGTGATTCACATTTTAAAACAAAATAAGTTACCATTGATTAAAAACTATAAACCTAGCACTATGCTGCACCCTTCACAGATACTAACTCATTTCTTTCTTGCAAAAAATCTAACGTAGGTAGTATTATTGTTCCTTCCTCGAAGACGAACAACAGGACACTGGAGTCTGACTGGGTGGTTCACTTTTGAGCAGAAGCAGAATTCCTAGGATGAAGCTTAAAGCCTGTGCTTTTCTCTGATTTGCCAGAGGCCGGGGATTGTACTAGACAAGGAGGTTTGACACACTGCTACTCTCACCAGCTCTGACTTCAAAAAAAAGAAATCCGGCATCCAACTTTAGTCAATTATCAATGCTCACCTCTTGACCTCTATTCCTCTGTCGACTGAAAGTCTTTCCTGAGTCCCTGCCAAGGTAAATTCTAGACCTCTGGTTGTTTAGGGGAACAGAAGGGGCTGAGATTATAGGAGCTATTACCGGTCACTTGTAAATTGGTGAACTTTGAAATCTGGTCTCAGCACAGAGCTTCCCGGTCACCTAAGGTCATCAAGAACTAGGAAATGGACTGAGGATGGAGCTCAAAGGAAAAGCATGTGCCTAGCTTGAAAGTAGGTTCCACCCCCAGCACCAGGAAAAGGAGGGGAGTTAGCATCAGTGGGAACTTCAGAACTGTGCTGACAGAAGGAGGCATTTCCCAGCAACGACTGGGAGAGTTGCTCTGTATTGCTCTGGTCCAGGATGTCATTCTTTCTGCAAAAATATTAGGAAGCAAATGCCATGTTTATTTCCAGACAAGGTGAAATGGTTCTGGCTTACCCACTGACTCTAGTGAAATCAGCTGACACTACTGAGTGCTGATAAGAGGAGGCAGCGTAAGGAAGCTGTGAAGAGAACAGGAGAGGAAAGAGAAAGGGGGTGTCGGTGTCACATAACCAAGGGGTAAGGGAAGAAGACCTTTACTCTGAAAAGTCTAATCTTTTTCCCTCCAACACATTGAAGGTCAACATTTCAGATACAAAAATATAAGTTTAAAAGCATTCTTCTCTGTGCCTTTGTAGGGGGACAAAAAGGATAGCTCTCCGTTATATTCCTACTCACATAGGATTCACTGGGAACTTAAAGTGCCTCTAACCATCACCAGAGTATCACGGAGACACACTGCTAGCAACAGAACACTCCATAGCAATGGAACTTGCTTTGTAACAGCATCTCCAGTGGCTCTTTTTCAGGTTTCCACATTTGCAGAGCAAGTAATTTACCAAGTGAGCCATCTCTCCAGGCCTTTCCTGGATCTTTTCATTGTTCCAGCAAATATCAAAAATTCCTCTAAGCCCCTCCAACCCTTTGTATAACAACTACTCATGACGAAACTTTTTAGACTTAGGAATCACTAGACCAGCAGTTGTCAACCTGTGAGTCATGGCCTCTTTGGGGTCACATATCAGACATCCTCCATATCAGATATTTACATCACAATTCATAAAAGTAGCAAAATAGCAGTTATGAAGTAGCAATGAAAATAATTTTATGGTTGTGACCACCACATGAGGAACTGTATTAAAGGGTTACAATGTTAGGATGGCTGAGAACCACGGCACGAGGCCAGCGTAAAAATCACAAAACACAAAGACCTAAGCATGGTTTCCCTGAACTTCTACCACTTCCACCAGGACACGAATATGATTAGAAATGTACATTCATATTGAAGAAATTAAGACCGAATGTTCCATCTCTCGACTCTATACTCAGGCATGTCTTAGGGACCATTTGTTTGAAATCTTTACAACAATTCTACTCCCCATACTCCAGTTACTGGAACTACTCAATCACATGGAGAGGTTTTCCAAGTTATTTGCAGCAATCAGATATACATCTGGATTAAATATTAAGAGACTAGGAAAGGGTTAGCATAGACCCTAGATGAAGAAATAACTTAACATATAGGAAATGCAAATTGTTTATATTTGTCTTTTTAGTTCATTCAAAAAATTGCAGACATATTTTAAAATATACTTGGTACTTTTTTAAAAATTTATTTGTGTGGGTGTGCATATGCATGCGCTTGTGTTAGGGTTGTTAGTATAGCCACTGAATCCAGAAGAGGACATCCAAGTCCTTGGAGTGCAGTTCCAGGTATTTATGGACTGCATGACATGGGAGCTAGATACAGAACTTCAGTTCTCTGTGAAAAACAGCCAAGTGTTTTTCATCTCTGGGCCATTTCTCCAGGCACATACATTAGTATTTTAAAACAAAATACATACTGGTATATTTCCATATACCATATCTTCCTAGTATATGTAAAGTAACATAGTGACTCCATACCTATGCTTCTTACCATTTCCCAGACCATAGTGTTCCTGGGAATTTCAAGAGTTCCAGTGCCAACAGAGAATCTAACAATGGCTTAGTTCTAACTAAGCCAAATCCCTCCCAACTCCAAGGCTTGTTGGAACCAAGCCTGGAATTGCAAAGGCACCGGCCCCAGATTTTCACTTCCTCTTCCCCAGTACATTTCTCGAATGCTTCCATGTTGAATCTATTATAAAAGTGCTAGCCAAATGGTTAAAGAACACAAAATAAAAATAAAAAAGTAAAATTTAAAATCATCTGGACTGTGACGGTTAATCTTCATTGTCAACTCGACTAGATTTAGAATGCCCTGGGAGACGCACCTCTGTGTGTCTGTGAGGCATCTCCAGAAAGGTTTAATGGAGGAGGGCAGACCCTTCCTGAACGCAGGTGGTGCCATCCCACAGGCTGGGATCCTGGGCTGAGTAAAAGGAAAGAGGGGCAGCCTGAGCACCAGTGTTCATCTCTTTCTACGTCTTGACTCTGGACCACATGAGATCAGCAACCTCACACTCACACTCTCATGTCTTCCCTTGGTCATGGACTTCATCCCTTCTTATAAGGTGAGCCAAGAAAAATCTCTTTCCCTTCAAATTGCTTCTATCGGGCATTTTTGTTTTTTGTCACAGCAACAAAAATGACTACAGGGAGACTTTGAAGTCTCTTCCGGTTAATTTATCTGGTCTTGGAATATTCATATTCTCTCGACCCCTCAGCTGCTGTCATGCAGTGACAGAAAAACCTGATTCTTGAAGCCAGGTGTGGTGGTGTAGGCCTTTAATCCCAGCACTTGGGAGGCAGAGGCAGGTGGATTTCTGTGAGATGGAGTCTAGCCTGGTCTACAGAGTGAGTTCTAGGACAGCCAGAGCTACATAGTGAAGCCCTGTCTCAAAAACAAAACAAACAAACAAAACCCTGACTCTCTTAGCTCACAGATTGAGACTCAGTGAAATGGAAAACAAAGTTCTGAACTGCAGTGCAATCCAAAATGGTTATCTGCTGCATTCATGTTTCCTCGCTAAACTGTGTACTCCAGGGTAGGAAATATGACTTATTCCCTTCTGTATTCCAAGTGACTGACACATCAAAAAACCTCAAACATTTTTTTAAAAAAGGATAAATTTATTTCACAATTAGATAACTCTAATACTAATGTACTATGTATTTTGAAAACCTAAAAGAGAATTTGACAGTATTCTTAGTAAAGAAATCGCAAATGTTTGAGACGATGACATATTTATCCTGACTTAAATAGTACATGATATATGCATGTTATCAAAACAGCACATGATATATATATATACATATATATATATACATATACATATATATATATATATAATTTTTGTGAGCCAGGTAAAAATTTTAAATTATTTATCTTAAAATAAATGAGAAATTTTAAGAACACATCACAAAAACCTATGCAATAGAGCATGCATGATAGATAGACAGACAGACAGACAGACAGACAGACACACACACACACACACACACACACACGGGGGGGGGGTTAAATAAGGTTTAAACATAATTTTTTAAAAAGAAAAGAAAAAGTCCCTTTAGCAATATTATTCTGATTCCACTAAACTCAGTAGAGAGTGGGCAATGTGGAGTACAGACGTACTGGAGTTTTAGAATATAAGTCAGCCTGTCCACATCCAGCTGAAGTGCGCTACACAGAAAAACAAACCACTAAGGCAACACAGAGGAAGGCTGGGCACCCACCTAAGCCTCCAACAGTATGTCATTAACCACCCTAACCAGAAGCCAATGTTTCCAGCAGGAGACAGATGCCAAGGAGTTCAGGCTCACCTCCTTGAAATGGTCCCAGCATCTGAATCTACTCTATGAACCTGATTCACACCTTACCAGTCTGTGAATCATCTACAAAATCCAACTAACCCTCAAGGCTGTTGTGAACCTTCACTAGCAACCTGAGCCGGTCTCATATGCTCTAAACAACGAATGTGAAGACAGGAAAAAGGTCCAAGCCTGCTGATTCCTCCAATGTGAGCATAGCCACACCCCTAGTAGAAGACACTACTTGCCCTTGCTGTTTGCCATACTGTGGTAAATTGTGCTTCTCAGAAAGAAAGAAAGAAAAAAATAGAACCCAAACTGAAAGAGCCTGTCTTGAATGCCACTCTTTAGATACGGGTGAACATGTAAAATTCATTACCATTTTAACTCTATTTCAACAAGTTTAAGACAGGTTTTCACATTTTTAGCATCTCTAAAATACGATGCATCTTAAATTGAAGACACCTTAGATTCAATGAACACAGTAATTGTGATAAGAAATATGATTTTCTTGAACATTGGGGAAATACCTCCAATAAACAAACTCAATCTTTGTCTTCCTAAGGCACTGCAGAATAACAACCAGGTTACACAGCCAACAAGTTTATGCAGCCTTAGGTCCACTCACCTTCATGGCACACACACACACACACACACACCATGCCATCTGTGTTTTGTACAAAGAGTTGGAAGGACTCCATGTACATCACTGACCATTCAGTGTGGTGTGCAGAGCCTCATAACGCTGGTCCCAGCTACATATTGCTCACATTCTCACAATTCATGACCCATAATATCCAAGAAATCTCTATTGATTTAGGAACGAATTCATTTATTCGTCATCATCATCATTTCTCCTCTCTCTCTCTCTCTCTCTCTCTCTCTCTCTCTCTCTCTCTCTCTCT